TGGCCAGTATAGGCATAGCCAATAAGAGTACTCTCTATGCCAACACCTAAATCGTTGATGAAGACATTGAACAGAACCGCTCCCAGAACAGATCCCTCAAAATCCGTTTTTATGCCCTTCCGGCATGACTGTGAATTGTTAATAACTACTCTCTGAAAACAGTTATCCAGCCAATTATGCACCCACATTACAGAGTAGCCTCATCTAAGTTGTATTTGCCTAGTTTATTGATAAGAAGGTCATGCAAGACCATATCAAATGGCTTACTAAAGTCTAGGTATACCACGTCTACTGCTTCTCCCTTATTCACAAGACTTGTTAGCCTATCAAAGAAAGCTATTGGATTGGTTTGACACGATGTGTTCTTTACAAATCCATGCTGGCTTTACAAATCCATACCTATCACCTTATTACTATCTTCCAGACGTTTGCAGATGGATTCTTTAATTATTTGTTCCATTATCTTTCGTGGCACAGAAGTTAAACTGACTTAAGAGAACATCCCTGCTTTGAAGTTGTGGGAGGAGAAAGGAAACATAGTAACTTCCCCAACATCATCCTAGTTGCCCCATGCAGGTTGTATTTGCCTAGTTTATTGATAAGAAGGTCATGCGAGATTGTATAAAATGCTTTACTAAATTCTAGGTATACCTCATCCACCGCTTCTTACTTATCCACAAGACTCGTTCTCCTGTCAAAGAAAGCTATCAGATTGGTTTGACATGATTTGTTCTTGACAAATCCATGCAGGCTGTTACCTATCACATTATTATCTTCTAAATGTTTGCAGATGAATTCCTTAATTCTTTGCTCCATTACCTTCCCTGATGCAGAAGTTAAGATGACTAGTTTCCACTAGATTTGCCCTTTTTTCAGTCTTCTGGACTCTCTCCTGACTTCCATGATTTTTCAAAGATGATAGCTAAAGGCTCAGATACCTCCTCTATCAGCTCCTTGATGCATTTCATCAGGATGCATTTCATTCTAGTATGCATTTCATCAGGCCCTGGTGCCTTGCAGACATCTAATTTCTCTAAGTGATTTTTAACTTGTTCTTTTCTTATTTTAACTCCCAAACTTAAGTCGTTTCCACGAGCATTCACTCTGTTAGGCATCCCATCACCATCAATCTTCTTGGTGAAAACTGAACTGAGTACAGGTTGGAGCTCTCTGGTCTGGGGATTTGCTGGATCGGGGAGGTCCCTCCTCTCATGGCACATACTGCCCCACTGTCCCTCGACTAGGGCTGCAGCCTGGCCCCACTGCTGCTCCAGTCCCCTGGAGCTCTGTAGCTGCCATTATCCCCACAGTACCACGGCCAGAGCTCTCCACTGGAGTCAGAGCTCCCTGGACACCGGGACCAGAACTCCCCTTCATACCACCTTCTGCCCCCCGGCATGGGGCTCCCATGTACAACCTCTATTTCCAGACTTGTTCTGGGCACTCTGCCATTGCCACGTTCTCTGGGCACTGGCTGTGAGTGGATGACACACGCTGCGCTGGAACAGTGCAAAGCCCACCTCCCTTACCCTGCTGGTGGCAGTGCAGGTAGACGATCTCCTCAAGATGGATGGTCATGGCATAGTCCCAGTACACACTGGAAGAAAAGAGGAGAGAGGCCTGAGTCACTCGGGGGAGTCCTATACCCCACGGCTTTCACCTGTCAGAGAAGCCAATCGGGCCATGCGACTCAACAAATGGCGAGAGTCCAGGCCCAGTCTTCTGTGGGTGCCGGAGCTGCCCACGTTTATGTCAGCTGAGGACTTTGCTCAGCAGATCCCAAGAACAGCAGTGACCCTCTGTCGCTCCAGGTGGGACACGGGGAGTGTGAGTGGCAGCCAGGTCCCCCCCAACCAGGCGCCTGCCATGCGAACAGCTTCTCTCTGTGCCTCCCAAAGCTGTTCAACAAGACCGAGATGTGTTAAACCCAGGACTGCGTGAATGAGGCCTTGGCTGTCTGGGCATCATTCCCTGTACACAGTCATATGCATCCTCCACGTATGTAGGAATGTGCACTGCACTGCCTGGGACCTGGAGCAGTGCCCTGCAGAGACCCTTCCTCTGGAACCTAGCCCACCCCTCCCACCTCCCCCCGCTCTGGGAAGGTAACAGTCATGTAGTTACGCTCCCCTCCCCCAAATGGATAGGAATTATGGGCACGGAATTAGTGGGGAGGGGGGACTAACCACGCTAAATTATACCCAGCTTCTTCTAGCTCACTTATGCTAAGGCAGATATCCCAGGATTCACTGGGGACACGTGAAACTCAGCCTTTGCCTTAGGCCAGGGTTGGGTAATAATGTTTGCAGGGGGGACACTTAATCAATTTTGATACATGGTCATGGGCCAGTTCCACCCTCCCAGAGGGGGGCAGGGTCTGGAGTGAAAGGGGCAGGGCTGGAGACTAATCTCCCCCCAGAATTGTCTGGAGCTGGGAGGCTTTGAGTTAAAAACACAGCAAAGGGCTTGCAGCTCCTGGACACTGCCACTACCACATTGCCTGGCAGCCATCCGCAGTTGCTGTGGCTATTTAAAGGGCTTGGCTACATCTACACTGGAATGATTTTGGGGAAATACTTTTAACGGAAAAGTTTTTCCATTAAAAGTATTTCCGCGAAAGAGCGTCTAGATTGGCAAGGATGCTTTTGCGCAAAAAGTGCTTTTGCGCAAAAGCATCCGTGCCTAGCCACGCTTTTGCGCAAGAAAGTTCCGATGGCCATTTTAGCCATTGGGCTTTGTTGCGCAAAAAATTAAGGTGCCTGTCTACACTGGCCCTCTTGCGCAAGTATTCTTGCGCAAGAGGGCTTATCCCTGAGTGGGAGCGTGAAAGTATTTGCACAAGAAGCACTGATTTTGTACATTACAAAGTCAGTGCTCTTGTGCAAATTCAAGCGGCCAGTGTAGACAGCTGGCAAGTTTTTGTGTAAAAGCAACTGCTTTTGCATAAAATCTTGCCAGTCTAGACGCACCCTTTGTGTCTACAGTCCCTGCAGGGGGTAATGCCATGACTGTGAGCTGTCAGCCATTTAAATAGGCTCCTGCTGCCTGAGTCATCACCTAGAAAATCAGTGGCACAGGCAGCAGGATATAAATAGAAAACAGCCAGATTCAGCCCCTGGGCTGGATGAAAATGTTAAGTGGGCCAGATCCGGCCCCTGGGCTGTATCTTGCTCAGCTCTGCCTTAGGCAAATAGAAAAACTGTCGCAAGCTAGATGGAGATGCACCACGGAAGAAAGGCACAATGTGATATAATAGAGTCTACGTGATTCCTTTGTGTTCTGGGGCAGCTGCATGCCCCATAACATTTGGAATCGAATGCCCCAAATGAAAGACGGGAACATACACAGGCACAGCCAGGACAAAGCTGGCCCAAGCTGGAGAGTTAACCTCCAGTGCTGTGAACAGCACAAGCAGACGTACTGGAGAAGATGGCTAGCTTAAGGGGCATTTGGGCAGCATCCCTTCTATGTAAAGCGAAGGGAACACGCAGGGAGAATTTGGCCCCTGGGAAGGAATGGTGATGGAGTAACTCTCTTTCCTGTGCTGGGCGGGTTTGTCTCGAGACAATAAACATGCCTGAGCTTGGTTCTTTGGTAATTTTCAAGAGCGAACGGTGAGGTCAACAATCGGTACCACCCACTTTTAATCAACAGGCCAAAGGGGCTCAGAATGGAGAGGGAGTGAAACGGCTTTTCAATTTTACGTTCCTGTTCTTAGCAGCAGAACCCCAGGGATCATACCAGACGCATCACAGAGCAGGACACCACTTGATAAGGCCTGGATGCTGCTTTTTTCAGCTGGGCTATTTGAATGTGGCTCCTAAACAGAGGAAGCCAGGTACCACTCCTCCTCCAACCCAACAGCTCTCCCCTGGCACGTTGTCTCCCCTCTGCTGGGGAAGCTGCACCTCCACACAGGAGGCAGCATGAGGCCTGTGCACCACTTGCCCCCAATGAAGCCTAACAGGACATGAGAGGTGTGCAGGCCCCCTGCTGGCCATTTGTGCTGGGTACGTTTCACAACACCTCTGAACTCCCGGGCTCACCCCAGGGGACTCCATGCTCTGCAGAGCTGCACTGCTCATTTACTTCCGTAACAATACCCCTTGAAACTGGCTGAACAATTTTTCATTTTAAATTTCCTTCACCGCTGCTTTTACAGACAAACAGAATGATCGTCAAGTCGAGCCGTGCAGGATGACTGCACAGTCCTTGACCAGAGGGGAGCAGGGTGCAGGACAGAGGATTGGCTGGGCACAGCCTGGCACACAGATCACATGGGGAAATGAACATGGAATATAAAAAAAAAACTGTGTGAGGCCCATCCGAGAAATGTTTCCTTTTCTTCTTAAAGACAAAGCCTCAGCGATAGCAGTTTCATTTCCAGAGAGGATCAGGCAGGATGAAATCTCTATCTAGTTGTTTAAACTCTGTGTAGTTTTATCTTAAAAAAAAAAGTCCAGGTTTTCAACAGCAATATCTATCATTTAGAAAAGCAGAGTGTGTGTGTAACATAATCCCAGAAGGAGGCATACTTACTTTGTGGTTTGACCACTCGCTCTCTCTGTCTTGCCTGGACACTGGGAAATTTTAGAAATTAGCCTGAGGGCCAAGTCAAGAACTCAGCCAAGCAGGAGAGATGAAGGGGCATTCCAGCAGAGTGCCAGTCAGCCCCACCAGCAGCAAGAGAGACAGCCCCCGCCCCAGGGCACATGGGGTGAGAGTGAAGATGCAAGGAACACAGGCAAAAAAGGGAGATAAGTATAGAGAACAGACAAAAATGGAAATGAGTTACATAGACGCTGATGCGTCTCTCAGCTTATAGGACATAATGCTCAGTTATTTCCCTCCCTCAGTTTCCTACACTATTTATTGAGAAGCTTCAGGGGGTAGCCGAGTTTGTCTGTTACAGAAAAAAACAGCAAGCAAATGTTCTGGTTGAACAACAACCATTAACAGAATTCCCATGTGCTTTCCAGCAATAGATCAGTTCTCCCGAAACATCTCCTCTCAATAAATAGCAAGCAAATGGTCTGGTAGCACTTTATAGACTGACAAAACATGTAGATGGTATCATGAGCTTTCATGGGCACAGCCCACTTCTTCAGATGACTGGAAGTAACTCCAGTCATCTGAAGAAGTGGGCTGTGCCCATGAAAGCTCATGATACCATCTACATGTTTTGTCAGTCTATAAAGTGCTACCAGACCATTTGCTTGCTATTTATTGAGAGGAGATGTTTCGGGAGAACTGATCTATTGCTGGAAAGCACATGGGAATTCTGTTAATGGTTGTTGTTCAATCCAAGCTGTTATGCCTGTGCCAGTAATAAGTTGCTGGAATAGGCTTTTCTGAGTTGCACGTAAAGGGTTCCAAGCTGTTATGCCTGTGCCAGTAATAAGTTGCTGGAATAGGCTTTTCTGAGTTGCACGTAAAGGGTTGGCATGAGTTTGTACAAGGGAATGTTGCAAGCAAGAAAAATGGCACCAATGCACATGCCAGATTCCAGGATTCATTTAATCAGGGAATGTCACCCAGAGGGCAGGTGTGACCTCATAAAGGTACGAGTGGTCCTGTAGCACTTTAGAGTGCGTCTACACACCAGAACTAAACTCAAAATAAGCTATGCAGATTGAGCTATGCTAATTGTGAAGCTGAAGTCAAAATAGCTCATTTTGGCTTTTGGTGCTGTCAACACTAGCAGTTATTTCGAGAAAGAGCACTCTTCCTCCAACTTACCTTACTCCTTGTGAAATTAAAGTAGCAGGAATCGGAGTAAGAAGTCCTCCAACTCGACATTATTTTGAAGTTATCAGCTGTGTAGACATAGCCTTAGAGACTAACAAAAAATATAGATAATGTCATGAGCTTCTGTGGGCACAACTCTCCTCTTCAGAAGTGAGTTGTGCCCACTAAAGCTCGTGATACTATTTATAGTTTTCTTAGTCTCTAAGGTGCTGCAGGACCACTCGTTTTTTAAACTTTGTTTTTTAAGTTACAGACTAACATGACTACTTCTATGAGACTTTTACCCAAGAAGGGAGACGTGGCAGAGACTGTGGATTTTACTATGGATTTTCAGGGGAATGGGTTCAGATATATCAGTGACAGGCAGCAGAATACGGTGTAAGAGCAAGAGAAGGAACAGCCACCTGAGAACTAACTGTGTCCACCCCTTAGTCCCAGCATACATCAGCCACTTTAAGTCTGGGCTGATCCTGTAACTACACAAGCCCATTGCCCAGGGTTGTGAATCTGGAAGCTTCTCACATTTTTTCTCCTTGTTCTTGGAGTTCCCTGTTTATTTGCTTTGCAATTTCTAGATATATCAGCTCAAAATATTGAGACAGACACACCAAGCGATTACTCACAGGGCAAGAAGCTAATTGTTCCACACTCTTCAGCATCAACAGCCTCTGTGATTTGATCCACACAGCCTGGCCCTCAGAAGATGGATTCCTCAGGGGCTCTCTGTCCCTGCATCCCCTTCCTGCTCTCCATCCCCATGGGCTGCTTGCTTTCTGTGGGATTGTGTAAGTTCCTGGATAACTAGTAAGTGTTTCCTAAACAGGCTTTGGTAAAAACTGGCACCAACCTAGAACACAGAACTGGATTCCCCAGGCAGTCCAGAGGAGGGCTTTTCCCAAGCCCCAGTTTACATTATACCTCTCAGAAAGCAAAGGGATCAGACAACATCAGCTGAACAGCTGAGACTTGATCCAAAGCCAGCGGAGCTCAGTGGACGGATCCCCACTGACTACAGTGGCTGTTCCATCAGGCCCTTTTTTAGAGGCACCTAACAGGACAATTTTGCTTGGAATGGCTCATTGCCCTCCTGTTCTCTGGCTGGCAGGATCTTGCATACAGAGCAAATCACCTTTTCTCATAGTCCAGATCTCCCACAGAACCGTTCATCAGTTGGTTGGGGGTCCATTTCAAAGTCATGATGTCGGCAGTCTGGTGAAGGGACAAATAACCCGGTATCGCCTCCATGTCGTCTCTCTTGATAAAGAAAACAGAGAAATGACGTCACTGACCCGCCTTGGCAGCATGGATGGCATGGCCGGGGGGTGTGGCTCTTGGGATCAGTAGGTCTCCATGGTCTGCTGAAACACACTGTTGGACCAACATCATAGTGGCCAGCCCACACACCCCCACAACCATGCCCAGGATCCTGCATACTTCCTGCTCCAAAACCAGGAAGAGGGCTGTGAAGCCATTCATGCAGAGCTGATCTCCCATGAAACATCACTGCAAGCCTGGAAGAGCAACACCCTGGGCAGGGCAGAGGGGCAAACCGCCACAGCACCAGTGAAACTGTTTTATCGCACTCCCCTTACCAGCAGAAACTGCCCTGAGCAATCTACTTGAGCTAAACTGAACTCTGTGTCCTTCCCTAATTCCTTCCCCCACATCTAGGCTTGGCAGGTCAGAACCAAGCCTGCTGTCTGAAATCCCTGCATGGCTGATCCTTCAGGGGTTAGGGTGGCATGGAAGCTGCAGAACACAAGGCAAAAGATATGGAATGGCAGCTCCCCTGCAAGACCATCTCTGCCAAGCAATGGTATCTGTCTGGGTCACAGGCCTGCACACCAGACCCCCCAGCATGTGCAAGATAGATCTTCCCCTTCCCACGGAAGCCGTGCTCAGCGCAGCTCTCTCTGCCTGTATCTGTCCCCCAAAGCTGCGGGGCCCCTGCAAAACTCAGCAAAGCTGTGGGACTTGTACCGGGAAAGGGCCCAACAGACCCAAGCGGGCCCCTCATAGCTGCCTGTGGGCCTGGGCATGTCACTCCTCTGCCAGTCCAATGCTGCACCGTCAGCTGGGCAGTTACCCAGTGGATGGCTCCAGTGCAGCAGTCCCTAGAGACCCCCATGTACGGGCCCATCTGCCATGCCGGGACACACACCAGCTGCAGTGCTGGAAACGGCTCATCTGGCCCACACTCTTCTGGGTGAAGGAAAAGGGGACCAGCTTCTAGCCAAAGGAAAGAAGAATCCTCGCCCCTCCCCTCCCCCCAAAAAGATACACATTTCTAGCCGAAGAATCTCTCTCTCTTTTGCCTTGAGAAATGGAGCGCAGATTCTTCATTTCCCAAATGATGCACTGACAGTCAGCCTCTCTCACAGCCTGGGGCAGGGCTGGATAAAATGAAGAGAGCAGTCTTTTTAAGCACAGGTTTGCAGGCACAGGAAAGTCTCTGACTCCTTTACCTACTAACTGTAATGGTATAAAGGTTCTCTCTCTCTTCCATGCACACACATACACACACAATATGGAAGTCTAAGAGTCCTCTGCATGGGTAGGGTTGACAGGTGTCCAGTTTTCACCTGGAGAGTCCGGTATTTGTGACCCCTGTCCATTAAAAAAACCCAGAAAATACTGGACATGTAAAATGTCCAGTATTTTCTGTGTTTCTCAGACAGAAGACCGGTGGGGTCATTCTTCACCTGCTGCATCTGATGAGGGCAGGGTGATTTAAAGGTGCAGTAACTTTTTTTTTTTTTTGCTCAACCAATTTTTTTCCCGCCATGTTTGGGATTTTTTGTGAAAGTATCTGGCAACCCTTTGCACAGGATCAGAGAGAGTGCCATGGCTCTACAGCATGGATGTGCTCATCAGAGGCAGGGTTCCCTTTAAGGTGTGCACCTGTGTGGGTGCCCACCAAAAATTTCAGTCTGGCCTACCTGCTCAGCAGAACTGTGCAGCTGTGGCCCCAGCTGCTTCCAAGGGCAGGTTTGTGTGGCAGATGGCTGCCCCACCTCAGGAGCAGCTGGGAAGCCATCATGTAGTCCATGTAGTGGCTGCCAGAGCTGGAGCCTGGGCTGCACTCATGCCCCTGGGAGTAGCTGCAGCTGTTGGGATCAGGACCATGGTACTAAAAATAGTACCACAGCCCCAGCCTCTGCCGCCTGCCATGGCTGGGGTCATGGCTGTTGGGATCAGGCCCATGGAACTAAAAATAGTACCACACTCCTAGCCCCAGCAGCCACCATGCAGCTGCAGCCCCAGCTGCTCCCAGGGGTGGGGCTGCATGGCAGGCAGCTGCCCAGTGTTCCAGGACAGCAGCTGGGGCCATGGTGCAGGGGCTGCTGGGCCCGGTCTGCAGTGATAAAAATAGCAACCCAGCACCACCCGTG